GCACTAGCATTCTTAGTACAAGAAGCTGTGGCAGCTTTCCCCAACACACTGTAGCAATTGCCGGGGTGATATATAAAATAAAAAAAAAATAAAAAAAAAAAACAGCACTTGCACTCCCTCTGACCTCGGTACCTATACTAAGATAAGGCACCAAACCCATAATCAGGGATACTAGCTTGGCATGAATTTCGGGGAATACGATAATACCTAAACAATGAAGGAGCCCAGGTAGCCTCCTTCGTGAGCAGAAAGTACATGCTCACCACACCCCAGGTACTACCAAGGAGTACCGAGCCCTACATCTGGGCATTGTTGTACATAGTTGAGTTCTCTACGAGACTCAGGTTTATACCCCACCTATCCTTACCCCTAGTTGCAAACCATGAGAAGGATCAAGAACCCACTACACCCAAACCTATGCATATCAAGCAAACAGTCCGCAAGTCGCTCATCACCAGGCACACACCATGGCTGGCATACCGAGGCAGACTATCACTAAACATTATACTGAACTACTCAACAACAGACGAAGAATTCCAACCTGCCCAACCCCATAATGAAAATATATTCACATAATGTAAGGGGCCTAAATACCCCCCAAAAACGCCAAACATTGCGCACAGAACTGAAAAACCACAACGCGGATGTGATCTGCCTCCAAGAAACTCACTTCAAAAGGCAGACATCTCCTTCCTTGGACCCTTCACAATTCCCAAACCAATACCACTCCACACATAGCCACAAATCTAGAGGAGTTAGCATTCTAATACACAAATCAGTGGCATTTGATCCACTCAAAATAGTTAAAGACGCCAATGGGAGATACCTCATCCTAATATGCAACCTCAATGATATCACATACACCATAGTCAATATCTACGCACCAAACGACAATCAATGGCACTTCCTACATAAAATACTGACTAAAGTAAGTACTGTACAACAAGGCATAGTAATATACTGTGGAGACCTAAACCACACCCTAGACCCAGAAATGGACACTACACTGGACGCAAAAAAACCCAGACTGGCATCTCTTAGACCGGCCTGCGCCAAACTTAATAAACTGCTAATTCAATTTAACTTATACGATGTGTGGCGCACACTACATCCAGGAGATAAGGACTACACCTACTACTCCCAAGTGCACAAGACCCACTCTAGGATAGATCATTTTTTCATGACCAGCACAGGATTACCACACACGCACCAATGTACACATGGAGATATTACATGGTCGGACCACGCCCCAGTGATACTGACACTCACTGACGCATTCACATACAAAGGCAAAGGCTCATGGAGACTAAACAACTCACTGCTTCACGACCAAGACTTCACCCTCACACTAGACCAAGAACTTAAACAATACTTTACTACTAACGAGAACCCCCAGACCACGGCCCCGATTCTGTGGCAAGCACATAAATCAGTCGTACGAGGACTGTTGATCCGCAGAGCATCATATCTCAATAAACAAAGACGTGCAACACTGATGAAACTGCTCATACAATTAAGAGATACGACCCAAACTTATTACCAAACAAAAAAACAGGATCTCCTATCGGAAATCCAAAACATCACCTCCAAAATTAATGACCACCAATTCCAAAAAACGGCATACATTCTGAAAAAATTCAAAATGAACCATTATGCAAAAGGGAACAAGGCCAGCAAACTGCTGGCCAACATGCTACGCAAAAAGCAATCTAACTCCAAGATTCCATACATTCTCTCAAAAAGTAACCAAAAACTATGGAATCCACAAGACATGAATAGGGAATTAGTGACCTTCTATAACACCCTCTACAATCTAAAAGCAGATGAAACCCTATATCAACCAACTGTCACAGACATTGAGGGATACCTACGACAAATACCACTGCCAACACTGACAGAAGAACAAAAACACAAACTATCGGAACAGATCTCGATAACTGAACTGACGGACACAATTGCCAGACTACCTACAGGGAAATCCCCGGGCCCAGACGGATTCACGAATCAATACTACAAAACTTTCGCACCCACAATCGTTCCTTACATGAAACAAACCTTTCAATCCATAATACACACGGGGACGATCCCACAGGAAATGCTCATAGCCCATGTAGCCACACTACCCAAACCAGGGAAATTGCCAGACAAAGGACAGAACTTACGCCCAATCTCACTTCTTAACACAGATCTTAAACTGCTGGCGAAAATATACTCGAATAGACTAGCTGCAATGCTTCCAGACTTGGTCCATGAAGACCAAGTTGGCTTTATAAAGGGAAGGCAGGGCACTGACGGTACTAGGAAAGTTTTAGACATACTATACAGCATACACAAACGGAAAACGGGATGCCTATTCCTGTCACTTGATGCCGAAAAGGCTTTTGATAGGCTGAATTGGGACTTTCTCAGAGCGACCTTAACGAAGTTCGAATTCCCACCAGAGTTCATGAACACAATACAGGCTTTATATAGCAAACCCACCGCTAGACTCATCAACGCAGGGTTCCTGTCGGATCCGTTTGAGATCACAAATGGGACCAGACAGGGATGCCCCCTCTCACCCCTCTTATACGTACTGGCGTTAGAACCTCTCACGACTCTCATTAGACAACACCCATTAATCCTAGGCATCAAAACACAAAACAAAGAACATAAACTTACACTATTCGCGGACGATGTACTATTGACGCTACAAGACCCCGAAGCCTCCCTACCACATTTCCACTCTACACTAGAAAACTATAGTAAAATGTCCTATTACAAACTAAATATTTCTAAGACGCAAGCTCTTTGCAAAGGTCTCCCCCCAGAGGTCACTTATAAACTAAAAAACACCTACACATACGACTGGAGAACTGACTACATTACATTTCTAGGTATACGGTTCACAAAATCACACACCGCATTATTTAACGCCAATTATGGCAAACTCAGTATAGAAATAAAGAAACAACTACAAGAATGGAAAACATCATTCATATCCTGGTCGGGACGCATGGTAGCGATCAAGATGATAATCCTCCCTAAGTTGTTATACCTTTTCAGATCACTTATGATACATATACCCGCCACTTACTTTACCACAATCCAACGCTGGATATCCAGATTTGTTTGGAATGACAAAAGGGCACGTATAGCCCTAAAGGTACTGCAGTTACCGCTCAAAGAAGGGGGTATGAATCTGCCAAATCTTAAACAGTACTACCATGCAACCGTACTTAGCAGCATTATCCAAACACGACCAGGCGCACAAGCACCTCAATGGAAACATCTAGAAGCAGAATGGGCCAATAATATTAGTACTGACAACTTAATGTGGATACCGAAACATACCCGGCCGCAACTACAAGATTGCCTACCAACCACAACATTATCACTAAAAATATGGGACGGAGCCCGTCCCCTCCTAACAAATAACTCAATCCTTTCCAAAGCCATGCCACTTAAATCAATCGCACACATTATCCCGGATTTTAACTACAGAATATGGGAAAGACACGGCATACAATTCCTACACCAGATACTCACCAATACGGGACTAGCAACCTTCGCCTCATTACAGGCCTCACATAAGCTCCCAACGGTAGCACATTATTCATACCGCCAATTAGACTCATGGTTGCGCATACAAATTCAGGAGAAAACAATCAACACTCAGACACAAAAGATGACAGAATTTGAGGAAATGTATATTAGTCCCACACCGCCCCAGAAAGTCATATCCTCTATCTATACAACACTACCCACAAAATGCAAACTGCACGAACACAGATTTATCAAAGCGTGGGAAACAGAAACCCACAAACAATTTACTGAACCGGAATGGGAACGCATGATCCTAACCCCCAAATCCTTCACGTTATGCTCAAAACACATAGAGCTTGCCAAAAAACTCCTATATAGATGGTACCTTACACCCATACGACTACACAAATATAATCAATCCCTTCCAACACACTGCTGGAGATGCAAATCAGGCACAGGAACAATGGCACACATATGGTGGACCTGCCCATACCTGCAACAATACTGGAAAGACATATCCAAAATCATCACACACAGTACAGGATGCACCCTACCTCATAATTTGGACAACTATGTGCTCTTCAATATCCCAGAGTCGCTACCTAAACCAGATAGGTACCTCATCTTCCATATAAATATAGTAGCCCTAGGCGCTCTAGCACAAAACTGGCTATCACAAACTATACCCTCCATCCCCATGTGCATACAACAAATAAGCCACGCGGGCCACTTTGAAACCACAATGAGAAGGCAAACCACTTCTCCCAACAAACCACACAAACAGTACCGAAGATACTGGGAAATAGCATGGGATAAGTGGGAAACATACAAAAATGACACAACAGGGAACCTCCCATCGTGAGCTGATGTCGTGAATGACCTCGACCCACACGAGGCCAGAATACTTGCCAAAGCATACCCCACCAGACGGGAATGCCAAAGTAACTGACCACAAGGAGTACGACCACTCCATACAACACTAGAGGTCCAAAGGTAAACTTGAAGAGCAACCGAAATAACCCTCAAATGACTTCAAGCACATATCTAGTCCCCAGGGAAATTATGGCAAACAATACCACTGAAGCATAGGGTCAGGCCCTAGTTCTCTCCCTCTCATCCACTCCAAGGGTACGGGAAAAGTATATATCCCAAAGGCCAATGCACGAATGTCACTGCCTTGCACGGTTCAACAGTAATTATGTGTACTCCAACAATGTAATTACAGCGACTGTATATGATGACTAACTTGTACACACTCTTTATGGAATTGCAACTACCCCCCTCCCCATCCCTCCCTTCTTTTTTCTGTATCCTCATCCCTAAAGAATGACAAAACAATAAAAATTGTCAAATTTGAAAAAAAAAAACTTAACAGTAGGAGCAACAGTTCCAAACATTCACTCTCAGAAAAAGCTCAGGAAAAGATCAAAAACTGGAGTCAATTAGATTGGCACATGTATGTCTACTTTAATAAGTCTTTCTGGGATCAAGTGGAGAAATTTGGGAGGAAGAGAATGGACTGTGAATTAGGGGAGCTTCGGAGAAAGCGGTCTGAAATGGCTCAGGTCTGCTTACAAGGTGAAGCAGATCCTGACAGACAAATCTCTAAGACCCTACCAATCAGGAAGAGCCAGGATTCTTGGGCACAATCTGAAACTAGGATTAAATGATGCTGAAAAGCAATTTTGCCAGAAACTAGTTACCCCAGAAATTCAATACACTAACCTGTTGAAGAGCAAGAGAGCAAGACATGTTTAGTCTGCTACGACACACATTGCCCTGTCAGCATCTACTATAATGTCATCTCTACCTCTTCACTATCCATTTTCATAACTATTTAATGTCACAATTGTGTTACAGGTAGATAGATGGTAAGCTATGAATTGTTGAAAATTAAAAATGTAATAACAAAATTTAGTACAGAGAGTTATATAGTTTTTCAGACCCAACCTTTTGAGCCCATATTTTGTTATTTAAGTTTACCTTTTTTTCAGTTTGGAGTTTAGCAAATAAACCTCAGTAGTCATGTTCTTTGTCCTTTTCATATATAAATATTATTCAATACAAATACCCACCAATAAATCACCTTAAATGTGTACCCTACAATGTCTCATGAAGGACCTGTAATAGTTGAAATGACGACATGTGAGACCGCTGGTTGTATTTTACTTAATGTAAATATGTGTATACTGTTTTCATGTATGGAATGAATGATACATACCATAAAAAGCTCTGCGGGGCGGATGGGGGTGGCACAACAAAGCACACACATACACATTCCACACACACACACATTATACACAACCAGCAACCATCACACACTACTCACATTGCACATAGCCAGCAAAAATTACACACAGCCAGCTCACACACCATAAAGGGATATGTAAGGATAGTATTACTGGATATAAGAGCTAACTATTAAAGGGACATGCATCACCTGACTTTTTTTTTTTTTTAAACCAGCACGGAAACTCTTTTGAACAATTATACAAAACCAAAGTAAAGCAAGAAAGGTAATAAACTTGGTCAGATTGCATGTTTGAGCACACCTCTCAGCTAGGGGAGTTTCTTCAGCCTCCCTTTCTCTCTTACTCACTCACTAACCCAGTCCAAACCAGTCCACTAATGATAGAAACAGGACACCATTATGTAGCAGTAGCAGGCTCCTCATGCCACTGGCACCAATCAACGGGGGGAAGACAAAAAAATTGCAGGTCAGCCTGGTGGAAATGCACAACAGGCTATCTGCCAATCAAACAGGCTGGCCCACTAAAGGAAAACCAAACAGGGCGTTTTATTTCAGCACTCTCTGCAGGGTCCAAGATTTCAAAGTGTAGTGCGATTACATCTAATGATATTCTTGCAATACACTTTTTGGGGACAGTTCCCCAGCTCTCTCTCCTACATTCTGCCTCATGCCCCGTGGTTCCCTGGTGAACCTGACTGCAAGTGAACCTCCACTGGAACCAGCTACCCTCTCTACTGTGATTGGTATTACCAGCAGTTCCAGCGAGGTCAGGAAGGGGACCATTATGCCCTATATTGTAAAACGGGTGGTGAGCACCTTGATGCACTGGGGCCCTGGTACCATCACCCTTGGGTAACTACTGGTAGTTGTAAAGAATCCAAATGCGATTTAACCACTTAAGGATGGTGGTAATTGAACAAGTTTTGATCAAAACAAAATTGAAACAAAACCTGGAATTTGACTATACAGGTATGTTTTTCAACCATTATTTACCTCTTTTATGTGTACACACACACTTATTATATATATCTTTTTTTTCAGGAAAAACAGGGTTTTCATTTCACATCAAATATTTATATATGAAACATACAATAAAATACACGTATTTGTGTTCAGTGATGTCTCACTAGTACAACAGTACCAACCATGTACAGGTTTTATGGAGTTTTGGAAACGTACACGGTCAAATATAATACTTTTTGTTTTCACATTTTAAAATTTTGTCAGATTGGTTATGTTGCATTTGAGACCATATGGTAGCCCAGGAATGAAAATAACCCCCATTGTGGCATACCTGTCATGGTTCTCACTGTGACATCCCGACGGCAAGACGAGGTCGCCCCAGAAGTGCCCGGTGATGGACTTGAACCAGGGTACTTTGCAGTCCTGGGGCTGCTATTTTGCCTCTGAGCCACCATATCAGCTCAAGAGATAGCCAGAAGTCTATCTTGCCTTGTACCCAGCACTGGGGGCTGGACGTTATTCTGTGGCTGCTCCAATGATCTCAGCACACCTGTGGCTGATCACCAATTAGCCAGGTATAAGACACTGCCTCTCCCTGAGGGCAGTGTCAGTTCATTAAATCTGGTTCCCTTGTTTGGGTCCTGTCTTGCCATATCAGCGTTCCAGTATTTCCTGTTTGATTCCGGCTTCTGACCTTGGCTTTCCTCCTGGACTACTCTGATCTCTGACTTTGGCTTTCCTTGACTACGCTTCTGCTAATCCCTGCTGTACTGCTACTTGGAGCACTATTCCTGGAAAGCCCCCATGCACAGACTCACAGATCAGGTGGCGTCTTACCTGGTCACCCTGGTCTGTGTCTACTTTGCAAGGGTGAGCGTATAATTCTGCGAGCCGGACTCCCCATCAGGTAAGAACCTGACAATACCATTGGCAAAAGTAGACAAAATGGAGTATGTCCAGTCTTATTTAGTAGCCACTTAGTCACAAACACTGGTCAATGTTAGCATTCATATTTGTTTTTTACATTTTTCACAGAAAAACTGACATTTTACTGATAATAGCATCATCATGATACATTTTAATGTTTTAAAACGCCCATATTTGTGTTTAGTGAAGTCTTCCAAGTACAAGAGTTTTTGGAAAGTCACAGGGGCCATGTAGGGCATGCCCATTTCAGTTTACCAGGCTGGTTTGCAGGGCCTATGTTGCCTTTGAGACCATATTGGAGTCCAAAAATGAGAATTACCCCCATCATGGCATACCATTTGCAAAAGTAGACAACCCAGTGTATTTAAAATGGGGTATGCCAAATTTAGTTTCCATCTTTGTTTTTTTGAATTTTTCTCACACAATTAACACTTTTTTTTGTGTTAAAAACTGTTTAAATGTTTTTTATAAACTTTAATTTCAGCTGCTTTGGGGGACTGCCTGACAACCCAGGCAGTCCACCTATAGGCAGTTTAGTACACGGCCGATCCAGGTTGTGTGATCTAAATATCATTGCGACAACATGGCCTGGAAGGGCCGGATTAGCCGCAGGTGGTTTGCCTCGGTTGTCAGGCAAGTCCCTCAGTGGGAGCGCCAGAGTGGGACTGCTGGAGGACCAGTAAGTGTAGAGGACATCAAGGATGTGCTATGCCATAAGGCAGCTTTTAGGACCGCCTCCTTAAGAATGACATAGCACTCTCACCATCCTTAAGGGGTTAAGTAACCCAAAAATAAACAAAACGGTATCATAAAAAATTGAATCATAGGATAAAAATGAACTTTTAATCAGTAGCTATTAAAATACAATATCACAGACTTCCGGTTCCGCAGCCATCTTAGTTGGCTGCGTTTCACATCCGCTCCACCAATAGAAATTGTCATCCTATCCCATACTGCATTATTGCACTGCAGTATCTTACTTCACTCATGATCCTACCCTATAGCACAAATGAACGGCGAGCAAGTTCTTTTTGGAAACCTGGATCACTCTATTACATGGAGAGAGTGACTGCTGAAAATCGAGGCCATAGGGTGGGCCGCAACAGTCTAGCTTCGGCGCAAAAGAAGGCTCGACAAAAGGAAGCGATCCACACCAGACCAGTCCTCCTCAAGTGATAGGGGGTGCTCTGAAACACAGCAAAGGACTGTTACTTGTGGTGGCGACCATGCCACATACCAAACCGCACCTACATCCCATACATATGGAATTCTTCACCAGTTACTTCTCCATGTCCACAAACTTAGCCAATACTCATCATCTAGCCCAGCAGCATTACAAATGGACTTTGAGAAACACCACCAATAGACAACACTCACAGCAAGCATCCAGCAACTTGGTAAAGCCCTGTATCTTAAAATTGGAAGGACTCCTTTCCTCATATTACTCTCGCAGCATCAACTCATATAATTAATCTGCACCTACACTGGGCTCTCTGTACATACTTTTGTTATTTGATATATTAGTCTTGCCTTTTGATTATTTTACCCAACTGAAAATCCCTTACATTGCCCCTGCAAGCCATACATTTTTGTACTTTGATTTTGATATTTTAATACTACCATAAGCCTTCTCCTATGCATTTTGGTTCTTAACCACACACACAGCATCTTCCAACGAGCCACTCGACTAGTTCACAAGGTCCACTGACAGTTCATCATACTGGAGCCTCCATGAATGGAAACACATTACGCACCTATTCAAGTGACCACAATAAGTCACTTACTGTAAAAAACAAGTATATTTGTCCTAGTCTAAACAGAAATACCCACACATACGATAGCGGACTTAAATCACTGTTGGTGGGAGTGCACTCTAATCAACTCATTCTGAACAGAACTAAAACAACACTTAAATGCTAATAACCAGGGTCGGCCTAATGCCTTTAGGTGCCCAGTGTGAAATCTTCACAGCCCCCCCTGCTGTCATCCCCCTTCATCCATGTATAGTATGTATGTATACAGGTGTAGTGTTTGTATAGGGGAATTCTTAAATTAATAATGATTTAAAAACAAATGTTCATTACTCCTTTCCTATTGGTACCTTGTTTGGGAGGGCGTATGCTGATCTCTGGTGTTCCAGTGTGCTGGGAATCAGGTCTGCCCCTCCACCAGGTGCAGACCATGCATAACTTTCTCATAAACTCAGGCACTTGCAGTGTAAGACCTTCCCTGTGGTAATCCGCAGCAATGCTCTGATTGACCAGAGCTCAGAAGACAGCTACCCGTGGTCTGTAGCCAACAGAAATGCAGGTCAGAGGTGCCAGACTGCCTCCTCCTCAGCATTACAGAGGGGCAGACTAAGTATGTCACATAATACTGTGAGTTGTTTTGCTTTGGAGCTCTGGATTTCCCTTATACACCTTAAACACAAATTTGTAGTTTTGCACTGTTTATCCATTTATCACTGAGCTCCACAGCAAACAGAAAACCCTCACAGTACTATGTGGTGTACCAGTTTATCACATAACTCCCGAATAATAAAACTCACAATAATGTGGAGCTCTGTGACAAGTTCATACACTACACAACAATACAACTCCTAGTAATATGCCTATTAGTGTATCACAGAGCTCCTTAACTATAAAACACAATGGAATGTTCATTTTGTATACCAGAGCTCCACTCTAATATCTCTCATTAAAATATGATGTAATCTGTGTGTTGTCTGTGTATGTGATAGGCATGATGGCTGTGTGTGATATGTACGCTATGTGTTGGCTGTGAATAATATTTGGGCTGGGTTTACTGGCTGTGTGTGATGGGTATTTAATTCAGATAAAATTATGTAGGGCCATGTGTGAATGCAGGTGTAGATTTTACAGAGTCACAAGCACACAGTCCCACAGTCAGATGCACACAGTTATACATATACACTGTCAAATACAGCCACATGCACACAGTCACAGGCAGATAGTCACATACACAGGATTATGCAGTCACACATATACACAATTACAGACAGATAGACACACTTGTATACAATTACAGGCAGACAGTAACACACAGATACACACATGCAGAGTTACAGGGATACAGGAACACACAAACATTTACAGGCACTCTGACGGTCTGCTAAGGTATCACCGCCATGCATACCCTTTTCCCATAATAATAGTACGTCAATATCCACAGGTTCCAATATCGCTGGTGTTGCATAATAACCCACACATGAGCCAAGGCTTAATGCTGGGACAAGTCTGGTTTAATGGAAAACAGGCATTCAATTTATACAGTACATAAACTCCTCCTCTGAGCCAGAGAGATAATTGAGTCAGAGAAAATACTAAACTCAATCTTCTGGTCATAAAAAGTACAATTTTCACAACACCCCGAAAGTACCCCCAAAATACATGGGAACCCCACATCCGTGGGTAGCCTGGATCTGGGGGAACAATATATCCAGAAATAGTTCCATGAAAAATGTAGCAAGAGCCAGTCTCCGTTTGTGGGGTTTTGCATGAAAACCACAGAAGATAAAGTCAAGCTGGTACGTGAAGAATGCTCCCTGTGTTCGGTATTCTGGAACTCCCGAATGCCATTGGTCTAAGTGAATGGGAAGAGGAACGTAGAGGGGATCCATAAAGACCGGTGTTCGTACCAGTGCCTTGTCGAAAACAGTTCCAGGCACTCGACGACCCGAAGTCCCGCAGGCAGCGTTCGGGAAACAAGATGGCCGCCATCCATTGTTCCAACCACGTGTATACTTATGCATGAAATGGCTGCCACCCAGGAGCATACGATCAATCTGCGGTTTTCATACAAGATACACAACGTTCTAAGTTCTAATAGTCTCTGGGGTGGTCTAGGTTCGGGAACCGAACAAAATGATGAATAAACTGGAGCAGGATAATAAAATGAACGTGAGTAGTCGAACAGTGATGGGGCATCCCTTCACAGGCACACAATGACAAACACACACAGGTACATGCAGACATTCAAATACATATAGCCACACAAACATACACACACACAGTTACAGACAGTCACAAACAGGGAGACAGTCAGACACACACACACAGTCAGTCACACACACACACACAGTTACAGCCACACACAGAGGCAGACAGTCACACAGTCACACACACACAGGCAGACAGTCAAACACAGGTAGACAGCCACGCACACAGACAGGCAGACAGTCATACACACAAGCAGACAATCGCACACACAAACACACACACACACATAGCAGACAGTCACACACAGGCAGACAGTCACACACACAGTTACCTCTGTTCCTTATGGGCTGGAAGGGAGGAGTGGAGGCACTGCAGCTCCCGGAATCTGATGGTTGTTGGGTAAGCAGGGACATCTTTCTGCTTCCCCCTTTCTGTTCAGCAGTTACCGGAATGTCTTCTGGGCACTTTTGGCTCTGCCACAGCTGTCATTTAGCCCCTGCCCCACCACACGGTGGTCCCTCCGATGTTGCTTTTTTTTTTTTCTAATCCAGGGTGGAAAATAATGACATCTTCCATCTGGGTAGCCAGACCTGTGTGAGCTGTGGTGGTCGCATGGCGCCCCCTGCTGCCATGGTGCTCTGTGCGGTCGCACAGCTCACACACCCCTAAGGTCAGCCCTCATAATAACATGCCCTCTCTACCAGTTATCCCTGGTACGCAGGGATCCCTACAAGGTCATTACATACCCTTACAAACTATTTATAATTACCATAGCAGCAGTTGGACACAAAACCATCCTTTAAGCCTGGAATCAACCAGGTGCACCAACCTTACCATTATTTCTACCAAAACTTAACATCATATTTAAAGTGTATATGCTGAACACATTAACCAACAAAGAAATCCTGTGTGCTAGGAACCCTGCAATACATATGAAACATTTCCAGACAAGGTCAAACACGTTGTGTGTTATTTCATTCTCTTATATGTTTGTTTTCAGCAATACATTATATTTGGCACTCACTTATTATTGGAATTTGGCCATATTAATAAATGTGTACTTTCATTTTTTTATTATATTTTAATTTGTTGCTGGCACCTTGAGAAACATTCTGCTGAAGACTGCTGAGCACAAATATTTGGTAGGGACTTTGTTGGAAATTCTAACTGCTCTCTAAAATGTGTGAACAACATTTATCCTATTTTATCCCCAGTGAAGGGCAGGCTATTTGAGCTGATGTCTGTTCTCAGTACTCTTGTTTTTTGCTCTCCCTAAGTTTAAAGGGTAATCCAGATGTGGACCCCTTGCTCACTTCACTGATGATTAGAGATGAGCGAACCCGATTTTTGTACCCTGCCCTGAGCCCAGTGCCACAGAGAAATAAGCAATCAGTCTGTTTGTTAGGTGGGCACTTGCAACTGCATGTGTGCCAGGCACATTACTTTAATCCTGTTCTTGTAGCTCAGTGGGCAACATAGAAACATAGAATGTGACGGCAGATAAGAACCATTCGACCCATCTAGTCTGCCCAATTTTCTAAATACTTTCATTAGTCCCTGGCCTTATCTTATAGTTAGGATAGCCTTATGCCTATCCCACGCATGCTTAAACTCATTTTACTGTGTTAACCTCTACTACTTCAGCTGGAAGGCTATTCCATGCATCCACTACCCTCTCAGTAAAATAATACTTCCTGATATTATTTTTAAACCTTTGTCCCTCTAATTTAAGACCATGTCCTCTTGTTGTGGTAGTTTTTCTTCTTTTAAATATAGTCTCCTCCTTTACTGTGTTGATTCCCTTTATATATTTAAATGTTTCTATCATATCCCCCCTGTCTCGTCTTTCCTCCAAGCTATACATGTTAAGATCCTTTAACCTTTCCTGGTAAGTTTTATCCCGCAATCCATGAACCAGTTTAGTAGCCCTTCTCTGAACCCTCTCTAAGGTATCAATATCCTTCTGAAGATACGGTCTCCAGTACTGTGTACAATACTCCAAGTGAGGTCTCACCAGTGTTCTGTACAATGGCATGAGCACTTCCCTCTTTCTACTGCTAATACCTCTCCCTATACAACCAAGCATTCTGCTAGCATTACCTGCTGCTCTATTAAATTGTCTGCCTACCTTTAAGTCATCAGCAATAATCACCCCTAAATCCCTTTCCTCAGATGTTGAGGTTAGGACTCTATCAAACATTCTGTACTCTGCC